TCTTTATTTATTTATTTATTTATTTATGTTATTTGAGCATCGATCTATGATTCATGACTTGAAGGAAAACTCTTGAATATTGATACTTGTATGCGATATAATTGTATAAGAATACTAACGCTTTTATTATATATTTGTTTTTTTTTTTACATCTTATGTTACCTTATTTATTTGTGGTCCTCTTTATTCTCTATACTTGATTTGGTAGAGAAGTGTTATATGATGTACCCAACTTTGAGCGCACTTGTGTGTTTCATGTTTTCAGATTAGAGTGTCGATCGAGGTTAAGGCAAGGGAGGTCACATTTTGGGGTTAAAGACTCTATAGGGTATTAGTCTAGTTTTTTGTGATAGAGGGGGACTCCTTCTAGTCTTTTTGGGGAGATCAAAGTCCATAGTAGGACCTTGGATTCCATGTTGTAAATTTGGACTATGTCTAGAAGCTTAAATCTAGTAAATTTGGACTATGTCTAGAAGCTTAAATGTATATATTATGTTGGAAAAAATAGCTTAAAATGACATAAAATGGCATGTTAAGTGGCTATTTTGTGGTACAATTATCAGTGGGGTTCACTTCCGATTTGGGTCGGGTCAAAGTGGATTCAGATTCTTCGTAGTGAGATGAAGAGATTGATATATTGTACGCTCAAAAAGGATAATGGGTGAATGAGATATTGATTCTCAAAGTAGACCCATTTGAGTTGGAAAAATGAAGGGAAAAAGTGAGTTTTTGTCCCACATTGGTTTGGAAAGAGGAATTGAAACCCATGTTAATGGTTGCTATTACAGGAAGGTGGAGGGGTGCCCTTAAGTGCCTATTAAAAGCTATTTAAATCCTCCACCCCTATATAAGAAGGAGTTGGGCAGTAGCAGATTTATAGAACAAGAAAGTATCTTTTACAGCCTCAAAACTCTCTGCTTCTACTCTTTCTTAGCCATACTGTGTCATAATCTTGCTCTAGTTCGCCAGGATTCTTTGTTTGGGTGCTCAAACACTGAATCGTAGCAAGTTTTATCCTGGGAAGCCTAGGCTACAACGCTCCTAGCACTTTGTGGGAGGTAGCAAATAAGGTTTTAAGGAAATAGTGATCGTTTGACTCTTGCTAAAAACCCTACACCAAACAATAGCCAAATTCTCTTCATCTTTCCTTCCCCTTTTTCCAGAAAAATTATAATCTTATTTTATTAGATTATTATTTGTTTTCACCAACGGAATTAACCCTACACCAAACGCTAGCCAAACTCTCTTCATCTTTCCTTCCCTTTTTCCAGAAAAATAATAATCTTATTTTATTAGATTATTATTTGTTTTCACCAACGGAATTCCCAACAGTCTTAAAACCTTATATCTTCGTTTTCCCGTTGGTGGTCTTCTCCGAATTTCCTTGAAGAAAATGGAGCATCCCGCACTGCCAATCAATGAGGAGGAAAATGTTGTTGTGGACAACAATGGAGGAAACGGCAACAATGTTGCGAATTCCCAGGCACCACCAGTGAACGTTTGTTCACAAGATGGTGGGAGCACTGAGGGATATATTCCCATGACTCGGGTACCTTCGATACCGAGTGGATCGGCTGAAAAGCTTTCAGCCGGAGAAGTTCACCGGTGTCGGATCGAACATCAAGAGGTGGCAACAAAAGATGTTGTTCTACCTAGCAACTCTCGGCTTGGCAAGGTTCTTGTCCGAGAGTGTTCCTGAGTTGAAGGAACAAGATGCTCAATCCGTGATGGCGGTTGGCTATTAGAAGGATTCGAACTTCCTTTGCCGAAACTACATCCTGAAAGGATTGTGTGACACGCTATATGATGTATATCGAAAGATAAGCACATCAAAAGCGTTGTGGGAAGCATTGGATCATAAATACCAAAGTGCGGATGCCGACTCAAAGAAATTTGTGGTTGGCCGATTCCTCGACTTCAAAATGGTTGGTTCAAAGACCGTGCTAAGTCAAGTAGAAGATTTGCAATTAATCTTCGACGAGATCCGTGACGAGGGCATGGTGCTAAGTGAAGCCTTCCAAGTGGGATCTGTGATCCACTTGTTGCCTCCAGGTTGGAAGGACTTCAAGAACTACCTTAAGCATAAGCGAAAGGAGATGAACCTGGAAGACCTTATCTAGCGACTCAGGATTGAGGAGGGGAACATGACGAATGATAGGAAAGTTCCTAGCACTTTGTGGGAGGTAGCAAATAAGGTTTTAAGGAAAGAGTGATCACTTGACTCTTGCTAAAAACCCTACACCAAATGCTACCTAAATTCTTTTCATCTTTCCTTCCCCTTTTTCCAGAAAAATAATAATCTTATTTTATTGGATTATTATTTGTTTTCACCAACGAAATTCCCAACATATTATACTTCCAATTAAGCTATCTTTAGGATAGGAACTTTAAGACAAAGAAGTTATTTAGGTTATTTTGTGGTTGATATTTTGTTTAGCAGGCTTCATATTATAACGATATTTTTTGTCGTAGTAATACGGCCAGGTTACGCTCATTTTTGGGGTGTGACACAAAACAAGATTTATAATGTCAAATTTCACCTACAGAGAACCTCACTACAAACTTCACTCTTTGAACTTCACCTCCAAGTTTCACCTTCGAACTATGACATTCACCTTCGAGCTTCAAGTTCACACTTCATACTCTGATTTTTGAGAAGCAAATACATACAAAGAAATTTGAGTTTTCCTCAAACCCTAGCACAATCTAGTTTATAATGAAATCAAATTAATTACACATTAAAACTATCACAAACTAAAACTCACCACAATATAGCACTTTCATTTGAAAATCGCACGTGAAAATTCAGCTTTCAAATATATATTAGTGATTAGTGATATGAAGAAATAGTGAGGAAAATAGACAGTAACAAGTTGAAACATGAGGTTGTGAAGAAAACTCAGTTGTGAAGAAGAAATTTGGAAGCTAGATAAAAAATGAAGAAGAAATCGTGCATTGACAGTTCTAGTGTTCCACTATGAAGAATGTAGGTAACGGTGAAAAAACTAAGTGAAATAGGATAAAAATGGGTCAACAAAAATGACCCGGCTGTGAAAAGGAAACTTGGAAGCTAGATGAGAAATGAAAAAGAAATTATGCTTCGACAGTTTTAGTGTGATGAATGTAGGTAATGGTGAAAACGGAGTGAAATGAGATAAAAATGGGTCAACAATATGGGATGGCTCTCTTATGGATATTAGTTGGACATCATATACTATTGACTACTCCACCACCAGGGTTAGATCCTGTGACATTTCTTCAAGGAAAGCCATAGAGGTGTCATCTAGACACAAGGTGCTTGGCGATCATATTACATAGTAGTTGGCAAAATTAAAATGGAAAAATATTATATTCTTCTTCAAACTCTCTTGTGAGACCGTCTTACGAATATTAGTTGGTCATCATATTACATAGTAGTTGACAAAATTAAAATGTAAAAATATTATATATTCTTCTTCAAAATTATTACATTTTTACCAAACACTTTTTTTAATATTTCTTATTCATGAGACGATCCTATACATGTATTTTTTTTGTTAGACCATGAGGTTGCATATATTTTTTTTGGGTTAGATCATGAGGTATCCTGAGCAGGCCCTAATTGGGAGAGCACCTTTAAACTCGTACTATATTCAAACTAATCCTCATTCACATTGGGCCGACCCAATTAAGGGGACACCTTTAAACCCGTACCATACTCAAACTAATCCTCATTCACACCGGGTCAGCCCAAGGGAGAGCACCTTTAAGCCCGTAACATACTCAAACTAATCTTCATTCGCATCAGGCCGGCCCAATTAAGGGGACACCTTTAAACTCATGCCATACTCAAAGGCAATATATATCCTGCACTAGGGCGCGTATTGCATTGTGCGCCCCGATGCAAAACGACGTCGTTTCAGATTTTTATTTTTTATTTTTTTAAATTTCGCTACCCTGTGTTGGCGGTTAATTTTCTTTTTAAAAAAAAATTCTGTTAAAAATGTACATAATTTTATACTAGAATACACATAATTGTATAACAAAATACACATACTTTACCAGGACTATGTGGTCCAATGATACCCGGGTTGGACTTCCATTTGGAAGGTTATGAGTTCGAGCCTCAGTGGAGGCGTTATTAGCTCTTTGTGTCTCAGTAGGTTGAGAAAGTATATGAACAGATACACCAGATACTACAATCTAATAGAGCTAGTAGGCATTCAAAGAAAAAAAAATACACATACTTTTTTTTTTAAAAAAAAATGCATATAATCTAACATAATACATAATATACATAAACTTTTAACATAATAAAAACATCAACTCTTAACATAATACACATAAATTTCCTGTTTCGGATATACATAATTGTATAAAAAAGATGTACATGATTGTATAAAAAATGTACATAATTGTATAAACAAATACTCATAATTGTATAAACAAATACACATAATTGTATAACAAATACACATAATCACGTAAACTCTCTATATAACTTACCAAAACGACAACGTTTTGGGAGGCGCGGGGCGCACAGTGCTACGCGTGCCGTGATGCAGGGTATAACGATTGATACTCAAACTAATCCTCATTCACACCGAGCCGGTCTAAGGGAGAGCACTTTTAAGCCCGTACCATACTTAGACTAATTCTCATTCGCATCAAGCCGGTCCAATTAAGGAGACACCTTTAAACCCGTATCATACTCAAACTAATCCTTATTTACATCAAGCCTACCCAATTAAGAAACAAAATGCTGATCAGATTGATTTTTTCATATCAAAGAGAGTTCAAACTCCCATCTCCTAAGAAATGAGAATGCAGGTCATCACGCCAACCAAGCTGGTTATATTTTTCTTCAAAATTATTAGATCTTTTATCAAACATTTTTTTGAAGCAAATACAAGTATTTCAAACACTTTCTAACCTAGGAGACGGTCCCACAAGTATTTCACATAATTTAAGTACACGTGTTTGAAGAAGTAGGACTGTAGGACAGTAGGATTGTAGGAATCGATTGAACGGTGAATGCAAAGTCGTCACTCATTGCAGCTCTTCTTTCAGAGGTTTTCTGAATTGGAAATTTGGAATTCACACTCTCGTTATCCTGCAGCGAAGGTATATACATCTCTTTTCTTGCATATACATCTACACACACACATACGTATTTGCAAATGATTTCTTTAGCATTTCATTCTGAGTTTATTTCCATATGGATTTCCAGTTCCGATCATCACCAAACTGAGATTCGTGTTAGGTTTGAGAACATTGTTCTCTTGAGGAGAATGCTCTCTGATACTATGTACATTTATCTCTGTTTGTGTGAGCATTGTTGTATGCTTTCTTCAAATTCTAGTGCAACTGTGCAAAACCCCTTTCTCTGAAGCCGGCATTAATGTCTCATCTTGAGACTGTAACAAGATCAATCATGTTCTCTACTCAGGAACCACTCTTTATTTCGTTATTTCCCCTTTACTTTCATCAAAGAATCATCTTTGCCAAAAGATGATGTTGCATGTTTCTCAATCTGTTGGCCCATTCCAATATTCGAGTTTTCTGAAATTTATAAGTTGTTCTTTGTGGAGCAATAGATTGGGAATGCACCATTGTGGATTTATCCAAAGGGTCATATTAGAATCTAAGCTAGGATGGAGAAAATGAACTCACAAGTTGGAAATCCTGGTAAATCAACATGGACAAGCCAAGAACTAGACATTCTAGGCTTTCTAGTAACTGCTTTGAACCTGAGGGTTTTGAATATTTTGTTGCTGATCAGTTAAATACACTACAAGGATCTGTACTTAATCAGCACTGTTTAAGGATTTAATGGCTTAGTGTAATCCTATGAGGAATTTGGTAACTGGGTTCTGTAGTAGTCTGCAGTTATTGGCAATGATGTTCTTGCAGCACGTAATGGGCCAATGATTAAACTATCAAACTTAAGGTGTCTAGCTATTAGAGTTCATGGTGCTATGTGCGTTAATCATGATATTTGTAGAACTGTGCTGCCTGTAGCCTGTAGGTGCATATCCATTTTACTGTTGTGCAAATAAGTCGAGGACTTCTATCTTGAAGGTCGTAATTTCAATTTTCACATGCACTACTAGGATTTCTAACAGTAACATTTTCACAGCTTTACTTTTGTTACTTTGAGATACCAACCTGGTCAGAGTTTCTTTTGGGGTTTACTCCCACATAATTTCCTGCACAGTTTCCCCTACCCAACCTTTAAGCTTTTATTCCCTTCCTTTGTTTTGTTTTCTTAATGCACTTTCCAGTTTATCTGTTCTGTTCAGAGTATTGTTGATGGGGAAAAGTTGGAAAAATGAAATTAATTGTTAACAAATTTTGTTAGTTTAAGGACTAACTTTTTACTCACAATCACACATATTGAACATTTGAAATTATCATAAAAAGAACTTCCAGAACTCATCCTGTTAAAAATGTAAAAACAAATGGTATATGATAATATGAAAATAATCAGTACTTCAAGCAGAACCACGGCCTTCATAGCTTTTTTGGAGGAAGCTAGTTTAGATGCATTTAACTATACACTACTTATATCCACTAAAGAAAATTTTCATTTTTAGTGCAGTTTGACTAAACTTCAAACTTTTGCTTGCAATAGTACCCAACTCCTTTTTCTCTTTCTAATTAGTCAAGGACATATACCTGACTTCTATACATGTATGTTGCAAACACTATTATAAAATTTTAGCTGTTTTTGTTCAAGTAAAAGTTAATGTTTACATTGTTTTGCATGCAGTTGAACAAACCTGCTAATTGTAAGCTTTGAGTAGATCTATGGATTTTGACAGTCCAGATACAAATGTCATAAGTACTCCCAGGAATACAATAGATGGACTTCACTTCTATCCAGTGTCTCCTGGTGGCTCAGGTGAAGGCATGCCTTATGCCCCTGAAGATTGGCCTAACCCAGGTGATAATTGGCGTTGGATGGTCGGAAAACGAGTTAAAGGTTCATGCTACAATAAGGATAGATACCTGTATCTACCAAGACGTCTCGTGAAAGCTGGACAACCAAAGTGTTTTCGGAGCAAATTTTCAGTTGAGCAATATATCCAGTCAGCATTTCCTGGCACAGATGTGAATGCTTTCTTTGCATCATTCAGGTGGAATATTCCCTTGAAATGGTTCAATTCAAAAGGTTAGCTGTAGTGAAGCCTTTTTGTCATTATCAATTTAAGGATCTTTTTTTATTTTTTATTTTTTAAATCAACAAGTATTATACTTGCAGTGCACCGTATTTATTTTACACTGAAAGCGCTCACTATTTTTTCCTGTGTGTAATTCATGCCAATATTATTAGACCATTGGCTTTGTAAGCTTTTATTCAAACCTTTCAGTAAAAAAATCTGGGATTACTTGGGGATCCCTGCATGACAGTCACAAGACCTGTAACAACTAACAAGTGAGAAAATCTAAATTAAATTTGTCAAAGGAGGAATTCTGCAAAGCTTAGAGTGTGAATCAGTTTTGGACTAGTTTTAAGTGAGTTGAGTACTATTTTGTGATCATAAGGTATTTAGGTGTAACATTTATTTTTATGTTTAATTGCATGCAAAGTCTACCTTATTAGGTTTGTAGTAAAACCAAGGAGCTGGTATAAAGACAGATTGCTGCTTTGGTCCATTTACATTGTTCTTGAGAGGATTGCTGAATAAAACTAGGTGTACTTTTAGCTTATTCTTCTGTCCCAATCTCTTTTATTAAACAAGGTTTCCAACATATTTCGGAATAGAGAATATGTTTTCTCTGAATTATTATGCTACAACATGCTCTATTTACGTTATACTGATTTCAGTTCCCATAGAATTCCTTGTGGTTCTTCGTTGACAAGAAATAAGAAAGAGGAAATAAATGTCATTTTTAGAATGCACTATACTAGCTAAAGTTGTATTGTGTTATTAGTTGAGTAATTTAGACACTGGTGGCAACCCTATGCAAACTATCAGTTTGTAAAGATGATGGACTTGTTTCCCATTCATAATATGTCTTGGAAGGAGCTATAATAGCTGTTTACCAAGAATTGCAGAGTATGCCACATAGGTTTCATGTCTTTCCCTTATTTCCATATTTTGGTGATTCTTTTATGTGGTTATACATTTAACTCTTATCACTTCCATGAATGCTATATATGCTCATGGTTTTAAAATTTTCATTTATTTATGTTTTATTTGCTATATTATGGTTGTTGAATCATGAATGTTGACAATGAGTTTGCATCATCTTTGGTAGAAGCTGAACTTTTGGAGGCTGACTCTCGTTTATCACGCACTTGTAAGGCTGGCAACAACATGTGTAGCAGTTTATCAGGAGTATCTGATCCTCCTCCGTCAGAAGCCATGTTTTGTGATATTTGCTGCAGTGAACCTGGTTTTTGCCGAAGTTGTTGCTGTATTCTTTGTTCTAAGACTATCAGTTCAGCATTTGGTAGCGATAGTTACATTAGATGTAAAGCGATATTGCCTGATGGGTGCATTTGTGGGCACGTTGCTCACATAGACTGTGCTCTTCAGGCGCATATGGTTGGAACAGTAGGAACAAGCTATGATTTGGATGCAGAGTATTATTGTCGCCGCTGTGATTCAAGGACAGATCTCGTTTCACATGTTATGGAACTTCTACAGATTTGCCAATCTATTGATTCTCGAGATGAGATTGAGAAGACTTTGGATTCTGCAATTAGTATCTTGCACGGCTCAAGAAAAATGAAAGCAAGGCAGCTATTACATCATATTGAATCAGTGATGGCAAAGGTATTTAATAATTGAGGGTAGAGTAAATGTCTTTTCACTTTTTCTTTCTTTTAAATTAGCTGTTTCTAAAGCACTAGCATGACCAACCTGATATTGGAACCAGCTTAAGAATGGAGCTAACTTTGAAGATATGTGGAAAAAGGAAGAGTCAGGGTTAGAAGTATTAACTGGTAACTTCTATATCTGTTCTAACTTCTAACATCACACTGTTTCACAATTTCCACTTGTAACTTAAAACCTCTTACATCAATCACAAGGTCATGAGTTCGAATCCTTGCCCCCTTGGTTTGAGCCGGTCAGCTATGGGTAACTTAGGCTGGTTTACTTTCTTATGGTCCTTTGCCGGTTAGGGTACAAGGCGGGGTTTACTCACACTTGAAAGGATTGTGGGGTTTCCCTCGTCATCCAAAAAAAAAAAAAAAAAAAAAAAAGTGGACTTGTAATATTATGGCAACACGACTTGTTGCTTAATAAAAAGTGCACTACAGATACATATATCAAGCACTCTTATAATTCAATACCTACCCCTGCAGCACAACCAAATGTGACAAAGAAAAAGAGAACAACTCATGGCAAGCCTAGGAAAGACGATGCGATGTGGAAGAGACAAAGAATGACTGCTCAACCAAAGGTGACAAAGAAAAGGAGAACAACCCATGGCAAGCCTAGGAAAGACATTGCGAAGGGGAAGAGACAAAGAATGACTGCAGAACCAAATGCGCCTGATGCTGATAATGACTTCACGATAAGCCCTTCATTGTTTCTGCACAGGATACAGAGTGGAAAAGACCGAAACACCACAGAAGACGTAACTAACATGCAAATAGTAACTGCTGGGATAGTGAATATTTGTGCTGCATTTGATGAGATGACCATAGACGGTAGATCTCAAACTGTTGTTGATCATGAAGCTACACTGCACACAAAAGCTGTGGACATTAGATGTATTGAAACACAGTTGCAGGTAGATGAGCAGATGGCTCGAAAGTTGAATAATGAAGAAGTCCAACATGACAAACAAATGTCATTCTCTTCAGACAGCATGTTCAGAAATGATGAAGAAACTGTTGTAGTTCATGAGAATTCAGTTTTATCTGAAGAATTGAAGAGAGTGATGATTTGGAGGAGTTGGAGAGTAATGCCTATTGCCAGACTGGTGAAATATTTATACATGATGGAAAATGAAGAATATTTTGCTCTCAGATGGCTGAATACTAATGACATCGGACAAGCCTTGAGACTGAATTACATCAATAAAGTTTACATGGAAAAGTTGAGTGAACTAAAGAAAGCTGAGAAATGCAGGGTGGATGGCATGAAGGAAGAGAGAAGAAAGTTGAAAGGAATCTTCAACGACAGCAATAAGGCTAAAGTATGAATGTCCAAGATGATTCAACCATGGCATACTTCCAGGGAACAAGATAGATGAAGCTTTTAAGAACTATCAGAAGGGAATTCTCAATGAATCTTTTTGCCAGACTACTTGTTGGTCAACCCTCTGATATGATAAAAAAAAGTAGAAGGACTAAGGGGGAACCACACTAATCTGTTTTTACAACTCTTTTGGCTTAAGACTTGACTGTAATTTGTTCTGTAATATTTTGTAGCTAAATGTATCAAACTCTGTTGTGAATAGTTTTTGAATGCTTAATGAAAATCTGTTTTCTGGGTTTCTGAGAGTATATACACTTGCTTTGACAAACACTCTTTAGTTGATTGGTACACAGCAAAAGTGGAGTATATGTTGATGCATGTAATATTAATTAGGATTTTAGAACCCTCAATTTATTTCTTGTTTTTTATTTTTTGGTTAATAGACTGAAAGTTATTAATCTACAACGAAGATCAGAGAAGATCCTTGATCAGTTAAAGCTCAAGTTTACACATTTGGAAAAGACATGCAATTCTTAGATTTGTATGTCAAATTGACAAGAGCAGAAGTTCAATGAAGTGCTCATATGGTGTAGCTATTTGAGCAAAGCAATGAAGTAAAGATTAAGTGAAATACAAAGAAGTTAGTCTCTTTTCGGCCGCTTTGACTTTGCCCCCGAGTTCACGGATCTTGCCATCCCAACGAGCGATAGACTTCTTGGCCGCATCCATCTCCTTGTGGTAGAGGCTCTCGGCGGCCTTGGCACGGCAGAACAAGTCGGCGAGCGTGCAACCCATCCACAAAAGCATGGTCAAATTACGCAGCGAATGAAAATTGAATATGGCAAGAAGGTCGGGAAAATTATACCTGGATGAGGTCCCGATCACCACGCTCCCCGACCTCGTTGGTGGTCCAGTCGGTTGTGCTCTCCGAGATGAGTAACATCGCACTGATTTTGTCTAGGAGGGCTGCAGATTGGTCATCCCCGGAGAGTTGGGCATCAATTATGGGCGTATGGTCGGGGGAGTTTGTCCTCTTCGACCGCTTGGACCAAGCTTCTTCCCCCGAATCCGTAGCCGGCTCCTTACCTCTTTTAGTATAAGCTTTGACGACTGGAAGGTCGGGGACTGAGCCTATCACAATGATAGTTGTTAGCGGTAGGCCGGTCGGGACTGAAGGCCTACCCTCGGTAGTGCGAGTTTTCTTGGCACCCAAGGTGTTCTTAGCCCAGGGAGCTCTTGGGGTCGCGGTCGTGGCTTCGAAAGTCTCTTCCAAACCCATTTCTGCAAAAATGAGCATCAAAAGTTAAGTTTGAGAATGACAAAAATGTGACTCTACCTCCACTAAGGCTTGAACCCACAACCTCCCATATGGGAGTGCAACTTTGGTGCCATTAGACCACAAAGTCTTGGCCAAAATGTTACAAGTTTATTTATCCTAGATAGTAAAAGGTAAAACCTCCTAAATCCGGCTTGATCGTTCTTGGGGGAATGGCTACGGTGACCACCTTCGTCTTTGGAATGAATTTCTTCTCGAGGTCGTACCGAGGCGCTTGGAGGTTAGCCGCCGCGTAGTCCTCTGGGGTACGAAACACCCGGTAATCGAAGAATTCACAATAAATCATCTCGGGATGAGCAGTCAAACTCGTGGTCGGGGGTGAGTAGACGTACCTCCTGAATTGAGAATTCCAAATGTTTGGGACCGGCATCCGTCATTTGTATTCAACGAAAAAGAACTGATTCTTCCATCCCTTATTGTTGTCGGGCAGATTAAATATGCTGCAACTCGGTCCTTTCGATTGGATCATAAGGAATCTCCCCCACCCCCACCTCACCTCATGCTTTGGCGGCAAGGCCCGAACCAAGAACAAGAAATGGAACAGTTTGATCGTACAGGGAATGTTGTGTCGAGCAAAATCTGGGGGAAGCATGCTAGGATGCAATGAGTGTTCGGGCAAATTTGTCTGGGCAAGACCCCATAGAATCGTAAGAAGGCCGAAAGAAAGGGCATGAATGGAAGGGAAATCGAGGCTTCAAAGAATCCAAATGCGACCCGATCCAATCCCCTTTTATGGCGCTCAATGATGTTGCCAAGATTGTGTCAGCCGTCATATCAAGCCCGACCATTTAGGAGACCATATAGATCATGCAGCTCGACAAGGGTCAATAAGGGTTGATAAGTTCCGACTTGTTCGGCATTGAGAAATTTATGCCTCCCACTAGTAAGGTTGGAGGCTTGGATTTGAGGTGGAGGGCTAGAAGAGGGTCGGGGTGCAATCGAGACTGATGGAGAAGTATGGACAGAAGTTACTCGGGTTGAGGGACCTGCATCCACGTGATGAGATTTCACAGGTGCACCCGGTCTCCCTCGAGCGGCTGGTCCTTAATGGTGCCTAGTGAATCCCCTCGGACCATGGCGTCATAGTCCTAGACGAGATGTTTTGGCTATCCGAGTTGGTCATGGTACCCTAATGTACCCTTAGTATATTAAAAATGTATTTTCAAAAAATGTACCTTATGTACATAAATAATGTACCCTTAGTATATTAAAAATGTACTTTTTATTTATGGTCCACACAATTGTGTGCACCATGTTCCATGCAATAAAGATTCGGGGGAGGGGGGGAGGGGGGGTTTAACTAAAAAAATTGTTAAAGCCTAAGATCGAAGAAGTTAAAAACCTAGGAACTAAGGATCGAGCCCTTAATAAGAAAGATGATCGGATGCGCTCGAAGCAAGGGGACTTTGCTGACATACCTGCAATTTAGCTCGAGAAGTCCTGCTCTTACTCGGGAGGCTCTAGAAATTTTTGCAAAAGAAAGTGTGATTATGGCCCACCTCAATGCCCTATTTATAGGCAAGAGATCGAGCCCGGAAGGTTTGAAATTCAAAACGGATCCCTAGGTGTTTACCCGCAACACGACATATGGCAGGCGAATTAATTCGAGCGGTGATTTGCATGATTTACCATGGACCAGTGTTGCACCAGATCCCCACCTAGCTAAAAGCACTTTGACCTTAATTTGCACCCAGATCTTATAGTCCAAGCCCCTCGCCACGTTACCTTGACTCGAGACATGGACTCGGGGGCTACTTAATAGGGATATACCCCGAGCTACCGACCCTACCGTACTAAGTACCTAATTGGATCCGACTCCTCACATGGCGACAGGCTCTTCCCGACCTGAACCAGCCCGACGAGAGTACTTAACATGACCCGACTTGAAGGTTAGGCATCTAATTAGCCTAAGGAGCTTTTGTTCTTAGCCCTCGGTGCTCGGTCCCGACCCGAATGCTCGGTTAAGGCCCGAGCCCGTGTGATTAGCCCTCAACGATGAACACCGACAGTAGTGCTTAGATCGAGCCCGATTTCCATTGGCCAATTAAATAGTCCGCTACACGTGGACACTTCTTCTTAGCCACCAAGATCGCCAAGTGCATGGAGGACACATGGCGTGCATGCTGGCTTGCTGGCATGTGTCCCCTTCTATCTCCTATAAATACCATGCTAACGCTTGTAGAAAGGGGGTCGCTCTCTCTCTCTCTAGACCATTTATGAGCTTGAGAACCTCTAGCGATCGATCGCAATAAACTGAGCCGTCATTTCCAAATACATCATACAACGGTATACGAATACCTACATCTGGTTCAATTAGGATCTACAATATAAGGTGAACCATGGTCCACCCAGTATAATTTGTCCATTTTAACCAAGTAAATTTGTTGGATGTAATTACTTTTAGTTTTTAACTCAAAATATACCATTAGACATATGTTTCCAAGTAAACAATATGCATTTCTCTAAAAAACAAAGTAGATCAGATTTGAAGAATTTTTGTGAGTGTAGCTAACTTGAACATGTCTCTTTTAATTTAATTAGAGGTGTTGGATCATGAAGGAGTGATTTTGTATTACTCAACAAAAATATCTTAAGACTTTGATCTAAACAAATCATACTAATGAAAAAAGATCAGAACTACAAATAATATTGCATTTTGCAGTTGAAAGGCGTGACTAAAGAATAAGAAACTGAGATTGGATTCTTTCTAAAAACTCTTCAAATCAGATGTGAATCATGATGAAAGCATTGTCATGATGAAACATTATTTTTATGACCCTTTAATACAACATGAAATCAAACATTAAAATAATATGTTAGTGTTTAGTTTTAATGTGTTTCGAGTTCTTAAGGCATTGACTTGTTAAGAACCTATTAAAATTTGTGTGTTAAAGAGCAATCCACTTAACCCGTTAATGTTAGTATTAGTTATAATTTTTAGATATTATTTTATTATTTTATAAATATTATGGTATGATATGAATTGAATTCAACTTTTTGTTGTTCCCACTTTTCAATTCCCATTTTCATGCATGAAGCTAGCAATCATTCTATGTTTGAACTTTTTTTATTTTCCCCTGAAGTGTAAAAGAGAAACAATTTCAAAGGATACAACCTAAGTGCTCTTTAATGTATATTATATATATTATGCCTTGTGCTTGGCTGCGGCCTGCGGGCGTGTTTCCTGCATAAGTGCTCTGCCATCATCTTGTCTTCTTCACATCTAAAATCTTTCTTCTCATTATCAACTTTGATATCTACTGCAAACACGAGATTGGGTGGTGTATTTTTCTTTTATTATTACCATTTAAAAAAAATGTAAGTCCTCTTCTCAAATATGTAAAACGTTAAAGTACTTTGGTATTATTCAGAAGAAAATTAAATGAAATAGTATGTGAAAAAAGAATCTCATGATCAGCTTTTGATTTTTTTTTTTAAACAAAAATGCATCAATAATTTTATTAATCCAAAACCAATATGTACAATGCCAAGGAGAGTAGATCTCAAGTTGAAACGAATTGAAAGCTTACCCAAAATCAACAAGTGTCTAAGTAAACAAAGTACAAAGTGTCAACACTTCACAAAAAAAGTATGAGTTACTAGGCCTAATATACACAAAACCTAAGTAACATGCAAAAGGACAATACTCAGCATCTTGCCAATATCGCAACCGCTAGCTACAAACTTAACCACGCCTCCAACATTGCCCACCAAACAGTACCAAAAGCGCTTTAAGTCTATTAAAATTTTTAAATTTTGGTAGCATAATGACAGTTCTTTAGATAATCTAAAACTGCAGTTAGGGTTGCAAAAATCGCATTTAGGTGCTAGCTGGCGGCGGCCGGCCGCCTAGAAATTTGGCGGAATTGCCGTTCTAGGCGGTCGGCCGCCTAGGCGCCGGTCGTCTAAGTGCCCTAGGCGCAATTTTAAATAATTTTTTAATTTTTTTTTTAAATT